AACGCAATAGAAGAAAAAGTGTCGATCGCCTCCTTTGACGTTCTTTGTCGCATGTCATTACTTTAATGGCTCGTTAGCGGTGTCCTCAAGAGGCATAGCGGGTAGGAATATCTCAGTGACTTTGTGGATGAATTGCAGTGCCACTTGCCTGAGACGACTATGTTATTTTCTTTGATGCACCGGCATTCTTGGATTTCTTTTACTCTCGGACAATACCGAATCTACTATAGGAGATAAGTCGCCAAAACTTATTTTTTCGAAAATTGATGTTCCAGGAAAGCAACAATATATAGGAGTTTGCATTTGAAAAATTGTTTTCTTCAAAACCCAAAACGACGATGCACAATTGTATTTCAGTTTATTGCAATTTGATAAACTTGAAAAGCTCTACTAGTTTGTCAATTTAACCAATTTTCTTTGTTTAATAATAACAAAGTTACCAATGAATGACACTCAATTAGGATATCACTGTAAAATTCTGCACCCAAAATTTTGATATTTTCAAAAAATTACACTGACATCTATCTATTTCCATACCTCCACTCATCGTTGTTTAACTTTCCCAACGTCCTTCCAAATTCTTTAATACAGATTCAACCGACGTGGAAAGTATAATCGATTGGAACCGTAACTCAATGAAAAACCTCACCTCAAATTTCCACAGATGTGTGTGGAAAACACGCAGTAAATCACTGGATTTGCAGCCGAATTCAATGGTGCCAAACTTTGAATCAGAGTCGCTATGGCAATGTTTGTTTGAGTTTTCGGAATGTGGCCATACACTTGTAGCAAATCAAATATTATGTAAGGACTCCAGCATATGACGAATACTGAAACAAAACGGAATCAAATTAGCGTATGTTTGATGTCTGTGACGGTTGAATTGCTTCCCACAGGCTAATTCGTAGATGAACAACCGTCTGGATTCCATGACAAGTCTGGTTTGGATAGGTGATGGAAAAATGCGGCCATTATAGCCCGGTAGGTAGCGAAACTCAAACAGTTTGAGTAGAGTTTTGATGTCGACCAGCTGTCGAAAGCGCTCGCATATAATAAATAGGAGTTATAAAGCTTCAAATCTTTTTTGTAACATATATTAATATCAAAATACTGGAAATAAAGGAAAATTAGTTGAAATCGGGTGTTGCAGTCAGAGGCAGAAAGATTGTGAAACTCTTTTTTCTGTAAGAAGATTTACATCGGACAAACATAAGGTGAAGCCTTCTATAAGTGTAAAAAACGACAATGATGAACTGATAACAGATCCACTGGAAAAAAGCAACTATATCAATGATTATTTTATAGATTCCTTTCAAAATTGTCCTAAACCAAATCTTGATCAACATTGCGATAAATTTCATAAAAGTTTTTTCCTAACTCCTGTAACACCTGAAGAAGTTCAGGTGTTATTAAATGTTAGACGTTCGGACATTCATTACTGAAAATAATAACAGAGCTAACATATGAAAGTAGAGAAACCAATTAAAAATGTCAACACCAATAAAAAATGTACTAATTCATCAAATAGACAATCAATAAACTGATTACCAGTTTCCACATCAGAAAACAGATTCAGAAGAAGGAAAAAAGTCAATTCTAACTGGTCATTCAGTAAATTTGAAGCCGTGAAGCATTGCTGATAATATTAACAGAGGTAACATATTGCAAAATATAACAATTGAAATTAGAAAGTGAATTTGAAGTACAAAACACATACAGGGTGAGTCAATAAGATTCCTTCGGTCCATGCTATCAGAGGAAACAATTTTTCGAACGGAGAAAGGAGAAATGGCACTTTCTATGTTTTACCACTATTATTTGTAACTAACGTTACTACAGTTTCGTCCTATACGGACATTTTCAAACTTATACAATAAACTCATTGTATATTTCATTGCATACTTTCCGTGTTTCAATATTCAAATGCATCGGAATCTTATTTACTGGTATCTCTTTTTCGCATTGTTCGCCATCGCTATTGGAATCACTACACAGGAAAAAGTCTGCATTGTTATTGCACTCGTTATTACTATTAGTACTTGTCCAAGGACGCCATACTTTGAACAGACAACAATTTTTAACTAATCACAACTGCACCAATATCGAATTTCAACACTCAAATCGCGATCAGTTCGTGCACTGAACATTGACAACACGAAGTGTATAAACCGCCAATTCTTCAGTCCACGTGGACTAGTTGGCAGGGGCTTTATTTTTTTGTATAGGTTTTTTTGGCCTTTGAGTTCGCCGGCCGATAGCTTTAACTATTCACAATACCGGTTACTCCGACTATACCTGAGCAGGTAGTTCTCACTGGTGATTACGTGGGGTGTATAAAAGTTAGAGTAAAGTTATTTCCTACGAAAAAGCTACTGTGATAGCAGAACACGCCGTGTTATTTTTGGAAATAAAGTGGAAATAAAGTTTGTGTGAATCAAATCGTTTCGGCAGTAGTATCAATTTTGTTCATTCATATGAAAATGTTGGTAGGTGTGGTTTTGATAAGTGCCTTTGATCATTATCGTGGCAGCGAAATTAGTTGACATTTTGATTTTTAAATGTTTGCATGGTTTTTGTTCGCGATAAACTATGGAAAGCAATAACGATATTGAATTTGATAATGTGCTTTAACTACAACTCAACTATTGCCTGGAAAATCAAAGTTTTTGGCACAAAACCGTTTTTAGTGCTTCATTCTCGAAATGGATATACAGGGGCACCGAAAACGAAACAGATGGAATATCTTCAAAACACATGTTTTTTCAATAAAATGCAAAAACATGTCGATTTGTAATCCAAGGGGGACATCTTTCAATCATACCCACAATTGTGATACCTTTTCCCCCACCCCTCAGTCACTATCACCCAAACAATTTGAATGGGGAAAGTAGTAAGTGTGACACATCATTGAAAACGTTATTTCATAAGGAATTCGGTCATGTCAATTTTCGCTACGTAACTTTCTATTTTGGCGCCCTCTTGCGGGAAAACAACTGTTTCGTATTCCAATTTATGATACATCATTCGCAGGCTAATTTGACATTAATTCGGTGACAATGCATTATGGAAATTTTGAAATTATTTGAAATTATTTCAACTTTACTGTAAAAATGGTTTATTCCATTCCTGAACGAGTTGAAATTGTTAAACTTTATTCTCAACATAATAGTTGTGCTAGACTTACTGCTCGCCTCTTTAATAACAGTCATCCNTTTCAAATGATATATCACTCGACCCCACTTTCCATTTAAAATTTTAGGGTTGTTACTCACCCTCGCTAGGGGGTTGAAGGCACAGGTAGAAAAGTACATCTAAAATGTGTCCCCCTCAAAAGCAAAATTGACCTATCTGAGCATTTTTGCGTTAAGTTACAAAAAAAGGAGAAAAGCAAGGTGCATACTTTTCGTTGGACCACTCTGTATATTCACGTTATGCCTTGCTCATTTAGTTTTTCCTTTGTCTCACATTTGTGTATGTTTTGCTATATATTTTACCTTATTTAAGATAAATAAATTTTTAATATTCACTTTGAAATTTATAACCTTTGATTTTTTCTTTGTTTTACAATGAAATACTCACTTACCAATGTATACTAGGTAATTATTTTTATATTTCTGTATAATACATGCTATTCCCTAGGTTAATTTGTAAAACAGTCTTGGCTGAACTTCGGCCTTTCATTGATTTTTGTCAATGAATAAAGCCCATTTATTATTATTATTACTATTATAAGTGGTGGTTTCAGGGTCGAAAATTATGATTTGTGTTTTCAATGCAAGGAAACAATATGGTGGCTCCAAGGTGGCGGACGAAATTTGTAATCATGGTCCGATTCTTTTCAAAATCATCCAAAAAGACTATTTTCCTAAAAGGTTGATATAATTTCTCCTATTAGGTAAATTTCACAGCTTCTCCGACCCTATTTATCACTGATTCGCTAATGAGATCGAAAGTTTCTGGATTGTTTTATTTTCACTCATTAAACTGCAAACTTATTGGTCTCTATTCGAAGCGACATTCTCCACTTTGTGGAATTGACTCGTAAATTAGTTTTTATGAGTTGGTGCTATTCACTTGAATGAAATTTATTATCAGGTATAGGGCAATGTCAATGGAAATTCATTTAATGAATGGTAACAATATATCAATTCAGGGAATTTCTAATTACATACTTTAGTAGCTCCAACTATGAACATTCTCCAGACGTTCATTTGAAAGCAATGAATACTTGGGAAACTATTCAAAAACTTCGAGATGATTGATTCTCAGATCACCGAATTAACTAGTTGAAACTTTTTTGAAGAAGATTGGAAATGACCTGAAAATATTTTCGTTTGATGGCCGAACTGAAAAGGAAAGAATGAGAAAAACAATAAGCTAAAGGTAATCAAAATAGATAAAAAAACAGCTGACGAGGGGGAAGCTGTTGCGTTTGATATTTCTGAGGCCTTTGGCCGTGTATGGCATGACGGTTTGCTGGCCAAACTTCGATGTTATGGCTCTTCAGCTATATCAAAATCGGTTCACAACTTCAAATTTTAGGGGGGTGTTTCCATTAAAAATGGTTCACACTGTATAAGAAGAACACCAATACTTTTAGATATAGATATTCCTAAAAGCTCACATCACCATTGTCCACAATATAAAACTGAGAGAAACCCTTCTGTCCGTTGGCTTATAGCACTGGATAAAGATATGATAATGGGTAAAGATTATCAGGAATATACTTGAGAGCAAAGGGCATCCTTAAAATATAGGTTGACCAGGAAACGTAAATATAGGGAGAATCTTCGTAAATCTTCTACTTTTCAAATAGACATGGTTTCAAAGTTTATTGCCCTTCCGTGAACACTATTAGATTGTTGTAAAATGGGAACTAGGGGATAATATGAAATAAGCTATTAAGAGTGTGATGGAATTTATATGATCAGATTAAGCCAGCTTTCAAGAAACATTTCAAAAAATATAGATATTACATATATCCTATTTCCGAATCCGAAAAATCTAGTGTAGTTCAACATGCCCCAATAGCCATGGAATAGGTAAAGAATCCTTGAAATGTTTCAGACCTCTTCATGACACTAGAATTTATCACCAATTTCCACAGAAAATCTTCGATGTGTGTCCCAATTAATATGAACAAGAGAAATAACTTTGCATTGACAATCTTCGCTTTGTTTCTAATGCCTTATTAGTAATTTCATGAAATTTCTCCAGGATAGTATGGGAGGTTGGGAAAGTTACCAAACGTGGATTTCAGAACATCAACTTTGAAGTTTTTCAAAGTTTCCTGGTCAACAAGTTCACTCACTTTGTCGAATTGGTATGTGTCCCACAGGAATGAGCAGTTTACTTTTAGTCCATATCGTCCAAACTATAATGGCGTAGCAGGCGCTGATTATCACGGCAGGAATGACGAATAATATGAATGCGACCAGAGTCATGTACACCTTCCATTGCCAAGGCAGGAGATCTATCCAACACTGCGGAATATCTGAAAAGAAAACCCATTCGGAGATTAATAAAGTTTTTGTATCAAAAATTGAGGGAATAGCACAGTGATTCGACTCAAAAATCGATGAATCTGTCATTAATTTTATGACTAAATAAATAGGTTAGGTTAGGTTAGGTCAAAAGTGAGTGGGTCTATTCAACCCTCCTCCGCAACCCGCAAGGGTTTATTGTGGCTCACACCTATTCACACTCGACCAAAGTATGTGCTCTGCTGTTTCATCATTTTCAAAACAAAGAACACACAGTGTCTTTCGACAGTTCGAGTTTCTGCAAATGATGATTCAAATGACAGTGACCTGTGAAAAGGCCTGTTAAACATCGTAGTTCATCCCTACTGTAGTCCAACAACGGTTTGGTATCAAGCACCCCAAGTTTCACTTACAACACTAATACTTTCTACATCGCAAATTTGCAAGTTGATATTCATTTGGAAATTGATCCAAGACAGCATTATCATAAATTCGAACAGCATTTTGACGCAAAGTGCGAATACGAAATCATAATTCTAAACGGTTCTTCAGCTAAGAGAGCTGTAAGTGCCAATATTATTTTCAAATTGACAATCTTTCCCAATATCCATCAGTATGAAATCGGCATCAGAGCATGGAGGAAATAGTGAATGATATGAATGGAACTGCTAGTCAGAATCTAAGTATATCAATGAAAACGAAGAGGCAATATACAGACTTCAGTCGTTCCTCATATCCATGAAACGTTTACAATAGGGATGTGAGAAACGAGATTGAAATTTTCGATATACCCAATGGAACACATCAATAAATTTCGAGCATATGTTATAGAACCGATATGAAATGATTGTATAATACATTGATATCCTGGCAAATGTTTATAAGTTTGAACTGAATCAATAACTGATTGCAGAAATATACTACCAGTATATCCCGCGTTTTTTGCCAAAATGCAAATTGGTCCTACTCTCTATCATTAACACTGACATATTCAGTTGCTTCTTCTGAACAAAAATGTTTGTACTATGGCATTTTTTTTATACTCCTTTTGAAGTTTATGCCATACCAAACGTTCTCTCATTGGTTGTCATAACACGTAGACTCATCTCACATCCGTCTGTTTTATCCTGTACAAGGCAGTACTTTTACAATACGACACCTGCTAATATTTGTTAACGATTATTTCCATAGTGAAACTTTTTACAGAAGCAAAATCACACAACTTAATTCAATTCGATATTCAATAACTGAAGATTAAAACATTCTCCCAAATGAATAAAAATAAATATAGCCAAACACGAAAATAACACAAAAAATAAACAGCTATGAAAAAGACAAAAACCTAAACGGAGTGTACAGCATACAATACTATACCGGCCAAACCAAGAAAAAAATGATTCAGAGGTACGACGAGCACAAAAAGGCATACAAATATCCAATAATATATAAATCAAACCCCACAACACACGCCATATAAAACAAACATAACTTTCCACCACCAGAGAATATGAAACTCATAAAACAAGTCAATAAAGGAAACCGTATGGACATCTGTGAAAACTTAAACATCCATAAATTCAAATGTCATAATTCACTTAACAAATACAAATAAAAACACAACAAGACCTAACATTACACACCTGTCGCAAGCGCTCACATATAATAAAAAGAAGTTATGAAGCTTCAAATTCCTTTTGTGACATATGTTAATATTAAAATCGAAAAGAAATATAAATCAGAAGAACATATCATCACCTGAGATGAACAATGCATCTAAAACCAACGAGCCTACCCTACGAATGAATCGGTCATAACATACATCGGTCATAACAACCATACTAACATATAGTGAAGGAACCACAGACTAAATCAGCAGAATTCTCCGCGAACGAAACATAGCAACATCATTCGTACTGGAACGTACAATAAGGTCAATGTTCCGTAAGCCAAAGGATCAGATACCACTGGAGTCATCATCAAAGTATGTCAATGTTCAGGCAGTCCTCGATTAAAGACAAAATGTGATGGAAGGTCATCTTGAATTAAGACAGGTTGGAGCCTGGCTCCCTTACCCTTTGGACTGATACAAAATGTGACGCCGAAATCCATCTTGATTTTATTCAGGTTGAAGCCTGGCTCCCTTCCTCTTTTAACTGATGTTTGCCAGAAAGACAAACGGGTCATAACTGATATGGGTGTTCATCTTTCATCGGAAGATATAGGGGCCTCATTCGACAGAGTGTCGGGGCCTTCTATATCGGGAGGGGTCGTCTATAGCATAATCCAAAGCTTCCCTGACTAATGGGTTTTCATGAGTTTCTGCATCATCAAAAACTCTTTGATTTCTCGACTGGATGGACTGCCGAATGGAAGGCAGCTGCAAATCTCTGCGGATGGCTTCATTGCGCACGATACAAAATGTGAAAAATCAAAAGCAGTATTTGATGAAAATAACTGCGTGAAAGCAAGCGAGACATAAGTGGAACCACCTATTGGTGAGCCACCCAAGTTGGCTTACCAAGTTTTGCCTGCCCGGATTTTATATCATTTTTAGAAATATGCGGATTCGTTTTCTGATGACATTTCAGGAAAGTTTCCCAAATTTCTGCCAATGCAGTTGTCAGTTGACTGGTCAAACCATCAACGCTGACATATAAACTTCGCAAGCTAACTTGGGTGTCACAACAATAGGTGGTTCCACTTATGTTTCGCTTGATTTAACGCAGTTATTTTTATCAAGTACTCATCTTGGTTTTTCACATTCCGTCTCCAACAGAGGGCCGCCTGCCGGATACTGGTGATGCCCAACAGTCTGAAACGGTTGTCTACCGGTGGCTCTTGAATTTAAATCAAATTGGGAATGATCAGAATTAGCAGCTTGACTGCAATAACCCTTCTTGATTTTATATCATTCCTATAAACATGTGGATTCGTTTTCTGATGACATTTCAGGACAGTTCCAACCATTCTGCAATTAGTATAGTAAATTCAATCTTTACTAAGAATTGTACATTCGTTCGTTCGAAGTAGATCTAATAAAATATTTCAAACTTTAGAAACTTCTCTTGAGAGTATTCAAGATATTACATTTATTTCCTTTCTCGTCTGCACATTCTGCATGCTTCATTGATTTGTTTCTGCCGTGAAAAAGTGAATATGTTCTCTAGACTTCCATCTTGACGTTATTCTGAATTGGAGCTTGGCATTCACAACGGAATGTCACTAGGTTTTTGCGTTACGATTGATAATAATAACTGGAAATGCGGACTGAAAGGCAAGACAAACTTGGTACAAGTATAGCTTCGAGTCATGAGAGAAGGTACTATTATTTTAATAATATCTATCACACAGAAGTTTTGTCTTTATTGTTCTCAAAAAATTATCTTTAACTAATATTTTTTTTGTAAACCACGTCCAAATCTTTCTTATCAAAAAAAATCAGCGATGTTAATGGTGGGTCCATCAATGTTCTATGACGCTCATTATCATTTCTTGATAGATAGATAGATCGATAGATTTGTATTCAGGTCGATATCAGTATTACCAAGTTAATATAAATACACATTGAGTAAACTATGTAGATGTAGAATTTTCTATTTCTAGCAGTTTGAAATCGCCCAAGTTAAGCTTGCATTGTGTCCTTCAGGCTGCATTATTTTATCTAAGCATAAATGAAATGCACTAATGCTATCTAACTAAAAAGGTTAATCAGTTTCAGAAAATATGTGCAAAAAAGACATATGTAGGAATTGATATGAAAAGTAAAATTCCAGGTGTGATCTCCATCACTGCAATATATCATCAAAGCAGTCAATAAAATCCGAAACAGCTCTTTAAATGACAGATTATTCAATCAGCTTTGTGTTGCTGATGATGAAGATTTCAACCGATTGCTATTTCACACAGAAGTGCGTTGGTTATCAAAAGGTAACTGTCTGACTCGAGTTCACAATCTATTTGACTCTGTAATAGAGTTCTTAGAAAACAAAGACAAAGAATTGCACGACAACCTCATCACTTCAAAGAATGATATTGCGTACTTGACAGACCTGTATAAATTATTTAATGATGTCAATCTCCAACTTCAAGGTGACGACTTGAATTTGATTAAAACAAAAAATGTCATTACTGCTTTTGTAGCCAAATTGCTCTTATTCAAGCGTAATATCGGCAGACGTGATTTTCGCAATTTTCCTAATTCATCAGCAGTATCCATCAATAACGATGACTTGCTTGTTTACTGCCAACATTTGGAGAACCTCCTCAGTGATTTCGCAGAACGATCGCAGGACATTTTGAAATTAGAACTACCGGACTGGGTTGGATCCTTTTTCAATTGTCAACGCAGCAGGATCACCCCAGCTGGAAGAAGAACTGATAGAACTGACAACGAACGAAGAAATAAAATAAAATTAAAAAATGAATACCAAGAATTTTGGCTACAGAAGCCAATCCCGCAATTCTACCCAGGATTGTGGTCCATCGTTTGATAGCATTCTCATCATCGTTTTTGTGTGAACGAGGATTTAGTGCTGTGGCAACGTTGCTAACNCCGTTGTCTGGTTCACCAGAAACGTCTAATGTGCCATCCACCGTGAATCAGCCTGTATATTGTATGAAGCACTGATTGGTAGAATTTTGTCAGTAAGAACACGCCTGAGGTAGCTGATGTATAGCGAAACACTTGCTGCGGTTTTGTAACCTGTTCAGTTGAAGTCTCACGATAAAGTATTATTTGAATACAAAACTATCATTGTTTCACTAACCCACCAGAGCAGGAAGTATTCAGAATGAATGGCTTTTCAGTAACATGGAGAAAATATGAAGTTTTTCGATTGAAATGAAAACAAATTAATCTTGTAACCTACTTTCCGGAATTGCCTCCCTGCACAAACTCGAAAGAAAAATACTGTGTTTGTTTACAATCAATCAAAACCCGGAAATCAGTTCAGAATATTCCTATCCGTGGGAACTTCAGATTTAACATTCCAAACCTTTACGAGAAGAAGAGGTCAATCAAGAAGAAGAAGAACTCAGGTAAAAACCAACAACAATATCTATATACTTAGTAGGAAGCAGATCGTGTAAGGCGGTCCACTTCCGAACACTTGTTGAGATATCCAGAATGTTTTGTATAAACTAGGAAATAAATTCTAACAAATATTCACGTGAAATATTTATACACAATTGATTATACTTCAGATTGTCTGAATCAGTTATTGTTTCAGTGGAGAGGTATTTTTCTTACCGAATACAATGACGAACGTCATTTTTACAGTCTTTATTTTAGCACGTGGGATGATTCCTCTTGAGCTCGCTCTTCTGCAATCGTGATCCTCGTGAAATTGTCGTGGAGGTATACCTGCATGCTCTATATCTGAAAGAGATTGAAATTCAGTTAAATCATCTGAAAATGGACCTTTTAACAGGTGATGATCCACTGTATTGCCAAACATGCGCCAAACTAACTGGCTGTTATAAGGAATATAGCTAAGGCACCAGTCAATCTACACTGATGATATTCAAACGTGACTCAACCTCTGATGGAAGCACCAAACTCTTACGAATCATGCAGTCATTGTTCACTGTGGTTCTGGCGTTGAATTTGGTCATTATTACGCCTTGGTCAAAGACAAAACGGACTGGTTTAAGTTTGACGATATTGTTAAGTATTTTAGTATGTTAAGTTTGCTTTCGCTAATGTTTACTAGCTTTATCGAGGGCTGTAATATAAAAAAAGGACATAATAAGTAGAGATATAAAACATAGTAACGGAAAAAACAGTAACATACCTGTGCTATGTGAGGGTTATTACTTCTGAAATTTAATTCTGAGTGAATGAACACGAGAATGACATTTTTGGAATACATGACATGGAATACTTTTTGTTATAATTGTTTGATGTCGTTAATCAAGATGTTCAGTATTGAGGAAGAAAACAACTCAAAATTTAACTACCTGGACATAACCATCGGATATAACAACAAAAAAACACAATTTTAAATGTCAATATACAGGAAACCTCCACAAACAAGCTCCACCATATCCGCAAGTTCAGACCATCCACCATCACAAAAAATGGCTGCCTATAACGAGGAACAAGTACAAATCAAAACACAACAAGACCTCACATTCAATATATTAAACAAAACCATACACATTCCTAGAGAAGATCTAACACAAA